AAGCTCCTAACCTCTGACACTGGCAGCAATTGTGCCCCATCAAAGGATGGGAGTGGGCCACCTTGACTTAGGCACATGACTTCTGTCTTCTTCGGATTCAATTTCAGTCGGCTCAGTCTAAGCCAACCAGCCATGGCCTGCTATGCCAGGTCCAGATCTCCTGGACTAGAATCAGACTGGCTGCCCAACAGCAGATAGAGCTGGGTGTCATCTGCATACTGGTGACTTCCCAGCCCATGCTGCCAGGTGGTGACTTCCCAGCCCATGCCGCCGGGCAATCTGGGCAAAGGGGTGCATATAGATGTTAAATAGCATCAGGGAAAGCCCCGCCCCTTCCTCATCCCAGGCCACCAGAACTGGCGCTGTAGTAAATGCAACGATTTCACAAAGCGCAGGTCCCCCACTAGTTTGCTGCCATGCACCACAGACATAACCTCCCCCTGCAAGGCAGCCGGAACAAAACGTTTGTGTCCATGATACCAACAGCCGTTTGCCCTCTCTTCAACCTCCCCCTCCCTTTCCAGCTCTTTCTGATCAGAATCCGAGAGGGTGGAGGCGAACTTAATTTCCCAACCCCGCTCTACAACTGGGGGCGAGGCTTTAGCTTGGCTGCGAGTTAAGACCACCCCCCCAACTGGGAGGGAGCAAACATTGAGTCCAGCATGCCCTCACATTGACTGTTGTGTTGAGGTAGGCGGGACAATGCATCTGCCAGCTTTGCCCGGGAAATGGTGAGATTGAACTTGGAAAAGAAATCCATCCACCGCAACTGCTTAGCATTAAGGTTGCGGGGCATCCACAATACCTCCAAGTTCTTATGATCAGTCCAGACTTAAAAAGGCACCCGCGCTTCCTCCAACCAGTGGCGCCAGGTCGAGAGAGCCAACTTAATCGCCCCCACTTCCTTGTCCCATACCGACCAATTTCACTCAGTGTCATTGAACTTATGGGAGACATATGCAAGGGGGTGCAATCTCCCATCCCCCCCTTCTTGCAAGATGGCGCCACCCATGGTAACATCTGACGCATCAACTTGCACAATACATTTTTTATTTTCATCTGGGTGTGCTAAAATTGGTTCAGACGTGAACAGAGCCTTCAAACGCTCGCAGGGTTCTTTCATAGCAGACCCATCCATCTGGGTAAAAACAATGGGATCCTGGAGTTTCACTACCTTGGCTCCCAGCCCCGTAACCAGGGAAGGGTTGATTAAGTCCCGTTCACACCCAGGGTCTATCAAGCCCTGTACCCAGACATGAGTCCCGAGTCATTATAGTCACAGTCACAAAGAAGAGGGGGGGTTAATTGCTCACCATCTTAGGGGCTTTGGGAGTAGGGATCTGCTGCTCTGCACTGCTCACAGCAGGTCCTGCCCTTTTCCCGCCAGCTCGTCTTCTTCATCGCTACTCGGGAATAGCTCCTCCACAGTAACTTCAGCTTGCAGCGCCCATTGAAACTTCAGCCGGGCCACACTCTTCAGTGCTGGGGTGTCCACCTGCTTCTTCTCTGGCTCCTTCCTGGGTACCGTTGGGGCCCCCCCTCCTGGGCAGGAGGCAGCGAAGTGACCCGCTTCGCCACATGTCAGGCACAAACCTTGCCTCATGCGCTGGTCCCGCAAGCCCTCTTTGGGTTGAGGGGTCTTGGGTTTGACCGTTGGCAGTCTGACCTTTCCCAGGGTGGCTGCGTTGTCTATGCGGATGGTCTTCAGGCGGTTCTCTGTGTCGGCCACTTCGCACATCCAGGCATGGAGGGACACCGGTTGAACACTACGCAGGACGATCTCGCGAATCTCAGGGTGCAGACCTAGCGGTTACTGCACAGCCATCACACCATACGGCCAGCCCTGGATCTTCACGGCTTGCTTTCTAAATGCCTCGATGTATTTACGCATCGTCTTCTTACCTTGCTTAAAGGTACGCAAGTAGGCACGCGTGTGTTCACTAGCATTCGGATCCTCATACTGCGCATGTAGAGCCCACATGAATTTGTCCACTCGTTCGAGTTCGGGGCCCTCCGAATTATGAAGGCTCACATACCAGTCCACTGCCTCATCACCCAGGTCCTGGGGTAGGGTGCTCGGCACCGTAGTGGGCAGGGGGCTATGGTCGTCGGCACAGTCCCCTCGGTTGTCACCGGGACCATGCGGGAGGAAAGTGAGCGGGCAAAAATAGGAGCCATTTGTTCCCAGCAGGTCAGGAGCAGCTGGAACCCCAAGGTCAGAAAAGCATACACAGATAGCAATCCAGACAGGAGACATCGTTAGTGAACCAGGAAGGAGGATCACCCCCCACACATTCCAAAGACATGGCAGTGTTAACTGACACTGATAGGCATTGTGCATTTGATAAACAACAAGGGATGGCCATATAGAGAAAATGACAGGAAAAATGTAGAATTGGTTTACTTAAACTCCTGCCAAGTACCATCCTCATGATCCATTCAAGGATCCAAAACTGACAAATCATTATAAAATTTCCATCATCCCTATTTACTTAGCCACTGGAATAGCCTACTAATTATTTACACAAAGAAACCAAGCGGCAAAAGCTGGTAACAAGATCAGCTCTGTATGCAGGTAGTCATAAAAGGTATAATTAAAAATCTTTAAATGATTTATTGTGAAAGAAAGCAATGTTTTACATGGCACTGAAAGAAATAGAAATGCAAGATACTCTTTTAGTATCTGGTTAGGATTTTAGGCTAACTGGACACTTTAAAACTTACCTAAGTTTCAAACTTTCTTTGCTCTGGCCATTTTGAATGGAGCCAGCCATATGTTCATTCAGAACAAGAAACAGCAACTTCAGCCCATAAGAACTTGTCAAAGAATTATCTTCCCACTGGAAACAACTTTGAATACATAGACACCTCCTTAATAAGACAAAGAACAGTGAGGGGAAAATGAAGGTGGATTGATGCTTGGCTGGGAAGGAGATAGGGTTGCCAACTCTAAGTAGAGGCTGCAGGTGGGGGGAGGTGGAAAGCTGAACAGTGAGGGGGTAGATTGATATTGGCTGGGAAGGAGATAGGGTTGCCAACTCCAGGTGAGAAATTCCTGGAGATTTGAGAGATGGAGCCTGGAGAGGATGAGGTTTGAGGAGGAGTGGGGCCTCAGACAGGTACAATGCCATAGACTCTGCCCTCCAAACAGTGAGCCACTGTTGCCAATCTCCAGGTGGGGGCTGGAGATCACTCAGAATTACGACTGCTCTCCAGATGGCATTGATCCGTTCCCCTGGAGAAAATGGTGGACTCTGTGTCCTTATACCCTGCTGAGGTTGCCATGGCAAATTGTTGCTGACTGCCCACAGCCTCGGCACTCTCCCAGAGCCCCTTTCTAGTGTTCATTGTATTTATTTCCACAATGGGCCTTATTCCTAGTTCATATAAAAGGAAGAAGACAATTTGAAACTAGAAAGAAGGACATTTTGGAGCTTCCAAAAATGGGCTAGTATCATTAAGGACCAGCCTTTAAAATACAGCCAAAACAATTCCTGCAAGACCATTTTCAATCCTCTTGGGAGAAGGCCATTCATCTTAAACTGCAGAATTTGGGCTTCTTCTCTGAATTTGTTCTGCAATTGGGTTTTGAGCAAGCAAAATCAATGATCAAACAAAGGTTGTTTGATGTAGGGTGACAAAGAGACATTAACAATGTTCCCAACTTCCTGATACTAGAGAAGCTTAAATATGTTGTTGCCCCAGCACCTTATCTCTCTGTCCTGGAGGTACCCAGTCAACGGAGAGCTTTTACTTTGACAAGATAGCAAGTCCTCCCCTCTGCAGTTTTAGAGGGGAGATATAAAAAGACTCCCATGAAGGAGAGGATTTGTCTGTATGGTGCCAAAGAGGTGGAATCAGTCAAGCATGTAATGTTCCACTGTTGCTTCTATCAGGAAGCTCGTTCTAATATATTTTCCCCTATACTTAATAATTTTTCAGGATGTTCCAATGTTTATATTTTAAAGAAACTTTTAATGGGTGCTAATCAACAGGTTACTATTAGTTGTGCCAATTTTTTTCCAGTAGCCTGTAGATTTCATGGAGAAATTTTATGTACAGATTTTAACTAATTGATGCCAATAGATCAGACCAATTTTACATTCTAATGACTTTACTGTAAAGCTTTTATTTTTGATTTGTACTGGCCATTGGCCGAATAAAGAAATTGATTGATATGGCCAAAACGATACCCACGAGCAGCACCTGTATGCCCCGATGAGAGCCTAGCCCTTGAGGTACTGGGCAGCCTCATGAAAACAGAGCTGGTCTAGATGGACGTGCCCCCACAAGGCACGTTCTTATAGAAGGATTCCATGGGGAAATAGCTTGTATGGGCAAACCATTGTGCTTCGGACCTCCGTCTTAGAAACCAGGCTTCAGTTAAACCTGCAGCCCGCTCCCATTTCCAGGAGCTTGTGAACTGTTTCTGCAACATTCAGATCAGATGAGGAAATCAATATTAATCTCTTGCTGCTATTGCATGCAGAATAAACAATGAATTATTCTCAGAGAAGGAACTCTAGAATTAATGCTGATTCTGTAGAATCAATGAAGGATCTACCCTTACATGCTATGCTATTGACAGATTCAGAAAAATCTTAGCAAAATAGCCACAGTCATGGATTTTTAATTGCTTAGTAAAACAGAATTAGTAATGTAAACATTCCATTTCAAAGAAAACTTTTACAATATTGTGAAAACAATTGTTGGATGCAGAGGATGTTAATGATGGTTTTTGAGGATGTAGCTAGCCATTTTAGTGTTCTCTTTTATTGGACACTGTACAGTGACTCAAGTGGTTAAGATGCTGAACTGCAGGCTGTGGAAGGTTGGTAGTTCAGCAGTTCGAGACCCGAGTGCGCCGCATGACGGAGTGAGCTCCTAGAGTCGGATTCGACTGGCTTTCGAGCAAGGGAACCTTTACCTTTTTACTACCTGTCTGTCAAGATGGCAGACATATTTTTTTGGGGGGGAGGAGGGAGACAGTTGGGATTTGCTATTTTATTTTTGATTTTAACTGAAAATGTTTTTAACTGTTGTTGTACGCTGCCTTGAACCACAAGGACAGGCAGAATATAATTTTTTTAAATTAAAATTCATTTACATTATTTATAGTCTGTGTTTCTCATAGGAACTCAAGGTGGATTACACATACACATAGTCAGCCAGCACAAATACAAAAATGGGACATTCAATTATCAATGCAGTAGGATTTTAGATGTCTGGAACCACCAGAAAGAACTGAAGCGTCGCATAAGCATTCACATGACACCTTAAGCAGTACAGGAATTGCAACAATAGGATCCTACTTACAATAAGCTAAACATGGCAGCATAGACCACAGTATAAATAACGCAATCAAAGGCACTATGCTGAAGTGCAAAGGAGCAAAGAATATTTATATAACACAAATGTGTACAAACAGATACAATATAGTGTATACATATGACATATGTACACAGAGTGTACAAAAGAAGCCGGCACACAGGACATAGGACGAAGATTCTGGATTCCAATCTTCGTTTCGTTGATACTTCTTCAGTTGTACCATACAGCTTCATCTAGTGCTCAATATACAGAAGCCTTCATGTTATTATGCAGGGGAAAATATCCACAATTCACATCAAACTAGTTTAAGCAGGGCGACCAATCATCAGTAGAAAACATTCTTACATTGTCAGATATTTTGTATCTGTTTGTACACATTCGTGTTATATAAATATTCGTTGTTCCTTTGCACTTCAGCATAGTGCCTTTGATTGTGTTATTTATACAGTGCTTTTTTTTTGGTTGTTATATACTATACTGTGTTATCACTTTTGTATTTCAGCATAGACCACAGTCCCTAATCACTTATCCAAGCAAGTCTGCAAAACCATTTTTTACAGTGCAACCCTATTACCTGAGCAGAAAAGCCGTCTTGAATCATTCAGTTTTGCATAGTTTGCGGAAGGTCAGGAGAGTGGGAGTTTTCCTGACCTCCTCAGGCAAACTGTTCCACAAGGCAGGAGCCACCATTGGAGAAAGCACATGTACCGGCAGTTGTTGATTCCAGCCATTTGCAGGCTGGCATCTGCAGAAGCCCCTGCTAACTTGAGCGAAATAGTCACAGCAGAACATAGGGAGACAGGGGGTCCTGCAAATAAGAGGAGCTAAGGTGGTGGTTTAAGTGGTTAAGACGCTGAATTGCAGGCTGTGGAAGGTCAGTAGTTCAGCAGTTCGAGACCCGGGTGCCGCATGATGGAGTGAGCTCCCATCTCTAGTTCCAGCTCCTGCCAACCTAGCAGTTCGAAAGCAAGAAATTGCAAGTACCACTTCGGTGGGAAGGTAACAGCATTCCGTGCGCCTTGGTGTTTAGTCATGCCAGCCACATGACCACAGGAACGTCTTCGGACAGCACTGGCTCTTTGGCTTTGAAACGTAGATGAGCACCGCAACCCTAGAGTCGGATTCAACTGGCTTTCGAGCAAGGGAACCTTTACCCTTACCTTCTTAAGGCCATGAAGGGCTTTGTATGTGATAGCCAATACCTTGAACTAAGCCCAGTAACAGATGGGCAGCCAAAGGATCATCTACGGAATGGGAGTAATATGCATGCTCTGTTTAGCTCCTGTTAAATGCTGAGCTGCAGAATTCTGTTATCAGCTGGAGTTTGCCAGTTGATTAGGAAGGAAGACCAATGTATAGTGCATTACAGTAGTCTAGTCTGGATGTAACTGTGGTATAGATCCAAGGGGCCAGGTCAGCCATTATCAAGGTAAGGGGCCATCTTACAGGTTAGGCTGAGTTGGTAGAAAACTCTTACAGGTTAGGCTGAGTTGGTAGAAAACTTTTTTTTGCATCTGCCTTAACTTGCTTCTCCAGTAATAAATCTGGATCCAGTATGACCCCAAGGCTTTTAACTGAATCTGCAAAGGTCTGTTGAACTCCATCAAAAGTGGGAAGAACAAGGGCCTTCAAGACCTCCGCCTTTCCAACCAGCTTTGCCTCTGTCTTTTCAGGGTTTAGTTTCAGTTTGTTCACTTTTAGCCCGGCAGTAATTCAGGAGATACAAATAAGGATATATACAGCTGAGTATCATCAGCGTATTACAAATAAGGATATATACAGCTGAGTATCGTCAACAAACCCCAAAGCTACAAATGATTTGTCCTAAGGGTTTTACTTACAGATTGAAAAGCACGGAGGAAAGAATTGCACCCTGTGGAACCCCACAAGATAGGTCCCACACTGATAAATAAGATACATGAAGACATATTTGACAGTGCACTGAGTCTACAAATTTGTAGAAAAATAAGGTATCAAAAGGCACCTGTGGAAATGCCAACAGGGAAGTCAGGGTACAGAGCAGTTGGCCTAGTTATTAAGCATTGGGAGGAGGATCTGGGGAAAGCCATTAGTGGGAAGAGCTCCTGCCAGACTGATCATCCCATTTGGAGTGGTGTGAAGGGGCCCCTTGGCACCTGCTTGCACCAAGACTAATACTTGATGGCATCATCCACGGATCCATCAATCTGGCACCTGTACTCCTTCCTTTCAGCTTGATAGATTACTTATTTGTTGTAAGGGGGGAAATACAGAGTTTATAAATGTTTCAACTACACTGGTGGGAAGAAGATGCTTAGTCTACTAGATATGAACTTGCCTGAGATCTGAACTTGACTAGTACTGGGCACTTTAGAGAGAGTCTATATTGTCACATGCAGGGCTGGTGATCCATCAGACAGAGAGAGCCTTCTTGGTTACTGTCCCCAGGTTGTGGAGCTCCCACTTGTTGCAAGTACGCCTAGCACAGTCTCTTTTAGCCTTCTGTCCTAATTTGAAAGTGTGTCTTTTCAGGAAGGCCTTGGAAATGAACCAAATGCCCTGAGATCTTTTATAGGCTCTATGTTGCTTCCATGACCAGCTTTTCTTTGATGTTCTTAAGTAGTTTGATTAGTTCATGTTTTTTTTTTTAAATCACAGTGACATTTTTACATTGATCCTATTTTTTATTGGGAACCACCTTGATTACTTGTGGGTTAGTAAGGCAGGGTATAAGTTTCTGAAGCACACAAAAATAAATAGATTAAAATGTGCTGATTGGTTTAAAAAGATCATCTCAATTAATAGAGCTGCAGCATATTAAAACCTGTTAATTAGTTTTAAAGTATGGATCTTATTCAAAGAGGTATCCCCCAGGGACTTTGACACTTTTGCAATTTCCTAGCTGCTGTGACACACATGTGCATTATTTAAACATAAAGAAACAATGTCTTACTTCAGAACTATTTGATTCATAATCATATACTTGTCCTAAGACGTTTTTCTTCGAGTGACAGCCCTAGTTGCAAACCCAGCCTTTGTGCATGAAACCCACTGTTTCAAGTATCATTTGGATGCCAGATGGACAAGTGTGGCCTTAGTGTTATCACTTAATAAATCATCCTATTTCATTTGACAGTCTGCATGCCATAAGCTGATTACTAAACAAAAACTCATTCTTCTAGGGCCAAACGGAATGTTACACACAAGTGAATATAACCAGGGCTATTTTGGGGCAGGAACGCACAGGAATGGAGTTCCAGCTGGCTTCAAAGTTGGCCACGCCCACTACAGCCAAAACCACTGCATGCGTGGCTACAGAGTGAAGGCCTGGAGAGCGACCCCCCCCCTCTGGCAATGTCGAGGCAGGATCGGGGAGGCATTTAAATGCTTCCCCATGCCTTCCCTGGCCTGTCCAAGGGCCGGCTTGCCTGGGCTCCCCACAGCCACAGGGCCCCACATGCCTTCCCTTCCCTCCAAGGGCCGGGGCTTAAACTGCCTTCCCTTCCCTTCGAGGGAGGGGGGGTTTGCCTGGGCTCCCTGCAGTTGCGGGGCGCCTGGGCAAGCCAAGGGAAAGCATGGGGGTGTGACCTAATATGCTAATGAGTTTCTGCTTTTGGATGTGGCCCTATTGTGCTAATGAGTTCCTGCTGGGCTTTTTCAACAAAAAAAAAGCCCTGAATATAACTATAGACATATTTAGCCTGAAAGGCTGCTTTGGGACAGGATGATTCTGAACAGAGAAGCCGTGTGGTGCTGGTGGGGGAGTCTTAACTCACCTCTCCTCCCCATTCCCCATTGCCCACCTGGCAGCTTTTACCCTGCAAGGTTTCAAAGGTTTCTTGCATCTCCTTCCTGTCATTTCCTCCCTTCTCTGTTGCTCTCTTCTGAAATGGCTTTTCAAGGTGGAAAAGGGCCATCATACAGTTTGTTGCTTGGTCTTAAACCTTACAGTGGAAATCTGAGTTCTAGCAAGAATGATCTGTGCATGTGAGAGTGAAAGCAAGTGTTAATTTTAAGAAGTATCTGTCTTCTACTCACTAGAATTCTTTCTTACAGGCACAACTGTCTCAGGCTTTAAATGGCATTTCAGATAAAGCAAAGGAAGCAAAAGAGTTCCTTGTTCAGCTGAAAAACATTTTGCAGCAGATACAGGTAACAATAACGTAATTCCAACTGTTATGGAATTAGTTGATTATGGATATTGTACCTAATGACCAAGTATGAACTGATAGATCAAACATGTTCTGTATTTTTCTGCTTGACTGTTGATGTTGTTAACATTTTAAAAAGCTGGAAATTGTAATCCTGCACAGTAGCTAATTCTCCAGGCTCCACTTACTGTAGCAAGTACATGAATTCTTGAAATCAAAATGGCAAACCTGGTGTAGAGCAAAGTTCCCTCTAAGATGTGGAGTCTTGTGAGCAAAAATTCTACCTTGTGACCTACTGGCATTAAAGCTGTGAGCGAGCGATTTGGCTACTGCATAAATTAGTTTGCTCTGGAGCCCTGCTTCCTGAGCTGAGACAAAAACTTGTGAGCTAGGGGCTAAAAAACTGTGAGCTAGCTCACACTAACTCAGCTTAGAGGGAACACTGGTGTAGAGTCTAATTAGTTGTGTTTCCTGTTTGGCAGGAAGTCTTGTGGCCTCCCACCCATATTCTTCAGCACATTCAGCCATATTCCTTTTCCTTTCCTCTCTAACTGAGAGCTCTTTTGGCATTAGATTATGATGGATTCATATAAGCCTGTTTCTGTGTCCAAGCAAACATATATTGCCAATCTGAACAATTCAGAAAACCTTGGACATCGAGCTTCTATTATGCTATTCCTGAACTGCTCAGAGGACTATGGATGACTTATAACCATACTGGCAGTGCAGCCCTCAGCTGAGTTATATCCTTCTAAACCCACTGACTTCAATTGACTTAGGAGGGTATGACTCTGTTTAGGATTGCACTGTGGTACTCTGTGTCTTATTCAGTCATCGTATTCATCAATTTATATCTGCCTGTTTCAGTCTTACTAAAATATAACAGGGGCTTGTATGCATCAAAGCATAAACTTTTGATTTCATACTCAACATACCAAGGCCCGGGGGACTATTATTCTGTTTTGTTTCCTCCTGAAGTCCTTGGGCTTTCAATCTATGGCATGGGAAGCTTACTGATTAATTTGGCCCTAGGCGTAAGTATTGTCAGTGCTTAATATTAATGAATTCATCTGAATATTGAAAGGAAAGTATATATTTTGCCCTACTAAAAACATTTTAGAAAGAAATAGAAGACCTATTATTCAGAAGGCACCAGGAATTTCTGGGTGGATGGTTATCATGATTATGATGGACTCATCAAAGCTTTTTCTAGAAATCAGTGTAATAACCTTGATCTGCTTCTGTCTATAGATTATTAATCTTTGAGGGAAATATTGTATTGTTCATTCTTAGGGGCAAATATCTGGAATGAAAAGGATTCTCCAATTTAAGGGAAGATGCACAATAGCATCATACTGAAGGGTCAACAGTCACAGAACGCTGAAGAAAACTTGGTGTAAAGATTGAGTCATTTTAGCTCTTTTCAGATGTTATAGCTTGTTGCTCCTACATCATGTACTAGGAGAGCACACTATGTGGGATCCTCTCAATATGCTTGGCCACCATTTTGTGTAAATAGTGTAGCACACATATTTTCCAGTTTTGGTACATATGGTTGGAGACTTTTTTAGCATTTCTGATCACCAGTTCCAAGTCTGGAAAATACATGTGTTGCCTATTCATACAAAATGGCCACTGCACATATGGAGAGGACGCCACATAGCACACTTCTTTGCTGTAAGATGTAGTCGTTCCAAAACGGATGATTCAAAAGGGCTCTAGTTGCTGAACAAATATGCTGTCAGCAAGCTTGCGGCTTGCAGTCCCCCACCTGAAAAGGAAGACATAGATGTGTATTTATATTATTTACATTATTTATAGTCTGCCTTTCTCATTGGGACTCAAGGCAGATTACACAGAAATACCAAGACTCGGTTAAACTAAGGCTTTATTAATTATTTAAAAGGCAGAATGGCCAAAGGTTTACCCGATTAATGAGAGAACCCTCAGTATGAAAGTCCAGGTGTTAACCAGCATCACCAAGAGAATTCTCTTCCCAGGCGCTTGGATTGCTTACCTCTCCATATTGCTTACCTCTCCATATATCTCAGGGTGCTTGCCAGTCTAATTAACACAACAATGATCCTGCATCAAACCTGCCACCTTAGTTAGGGCCTTACGAGATTTTTAAAAACTGACTGGTTTCAAACTGCTCCTTCAGAATCCTATGCATACTTATCTGTAAATAAATCCCTTTGATGTCTTTTCTGGCTGTCAGTTGTAATTACAAATTCAGTGGGTTATGTGAAAGCAAATTTGGGGGATATTGTATCCAATTCACTAGAAAATCTCCTGCGGAAGCCATATTGAAAGGATGGGAGTTGTGTGTTACGCAGTTATGTGTTTACAGAGGTCTCATAAGAGATCAGAAATTCCTGGTGGATGGTGCTCAGTATTTTACAACGAATGTTTCCAAACTGTGGAGAATGAAATGTACAAAAAAGTTTACAGTATGTACATCTTTTGACATAATCCTCTTGACAGCATCTCTGTAGATAACCCACAACAACCAGTTATTGCTGCAATTTGTAATGAATCACATGATCAGGAAAATTCTTCAGAAAATCGCATGTTTTGAAAATGAAATGTTGGCAGTGTCTTCAGTAAGCCAGTCCTTTCTGCTGTAGAAGTGAATGTGGCTTTTTGTGTTTTCCAGGAAAATGGCTTGGACTATGAAGCTTGTCTGGTTGCTCAGTGTGACGCTTTGGTGGATGCTTTAACACGCCAGAAGGCAAAACTGCTCACAAAAGTTACCAAAGAGCGTGAGCACAAGTTAAAGGTGAGTGTGTGTGTGTGTGGGGGGGACTCTTCAGCACTTATCAACATGTAGACTCCCTTGGAATACTAGCCACTGACCACTACCCCAGGTCCTGTTCAACTGGAGGCAGAATTTTTTTACCTAAACAAAACAGGACTATTGTTGTGTTAATTAGATTGGCAAGCACTCTGAGGTATATTGCAACATGGAAAAGTAAGCCTTCGATGACATATTAAACAATCAAGGGCAGGGCCGGCTCGAGGTGTTTCTGTGCCCTAGGCGAGGCTGCCTTGTGGTGCAGATGCCAACCTCCTGGTGGGGTCTGGAGACCTGGAGACCTCTGGAGCCAGCCACCCTTTTGCTGCCGCCACCACCGCCTCTTCCCCCCCCACCGCCCCCAAAGGGGGGAGGAGGGGGGAGGCACAGCTTGGCGCCCCATCCAGGGCCCGGCGCTCTAGGCGAATGCCTACTTCGCCTAGTGGGTGAGCCGGCCCTGATCAAGGGTTGCCAATCCTGTGTTTCCTGAGGTAGCACACACAGAGGGAGCATAGGGTGATTTGAAAGGGAGGATTGATGAGCAGTGGGCTACCTAATCCCTTCTGTACCTGTTGATTCTCCCTTGCAAATATCTGTCCAGTTTGCTCCCAGTGAGTCAAGTCAGACATAGCAAGCATTATTGGAGCAGTTTGTCCCACAACAGCTGGAGCTGAACTGAAGCTATTTATAGGAATGAATGCCTGTGGCTGTAGCACTGGCCTGGAGTCTTCAAGCACTCACAGCTGGTCCTTGTCCTGCATTCTAGGTCTCCAGATGCCTCACGGTCAGTGGAGAGGTCTCAGGCAGCCAGTCATGCACTCCGCCCAGGCTTTCCCTCTTGGGGTCCTTGCTTCTCTACAAATACTTATACCCATGTTTCCTGGGATAATGACAACTCACACTAATTTGCTCTTACTTCAAGTAATATGAAAACAGAACCCTTTCCCAGTACTGTTTCCATAACGAGACCAATGTATGCTGCCCTGAGCTCCAACCTGTGCTCTTTGGAGGAAAGGTAGGATTAGAACGTAGTAAAATAAAAACAGAATGTATGTTTTCCCTCATAATACTAATGCAGGGGTGGCAGTACATGCAAGGGAGAACCTTGGGGTCCTGGGAGCAATTGTGAGGTCCAGGGTGATAGGTAACTCTCCTTCATGGGTCTCTCTGCAACCCAAGTTTCTGTTGCCGGCTCCTCCTCCTCAGCCACCTTGGCTTCTGGTTTGGTAGCTGCAGCTGGTCCCAAGTCCTCTGATGGCCCCTGGGTGTCAGAGGGCTGAGGGACTTCGGGGTGCATCATGGTTTTGCCTTCTACCACCATGGTGTCCTCATCCACTGATGAGGAATAATCCAGCCCAGTCCTGACACATCTCTCTAGCCATTCCACACAAAGGCACCACAGCTAGATGTCAGAGTCCTGGACAAAGTTACTTTCAACAACACTCTCTGGCAGCGATTTGTTTATTGAGAAATAATCATGTTCCAGGCCAGACCCGTACCGTGTCAGAATGGAGGCTCTGGCGGGAGAATCCAAAGATATAGACAGTTTAAATGACGGGACCCCCCAGTACATCCAATCACACTCTGCAAATGTCCCGCCTAGCTTTCGCGCTTCTATACCCCCCTACATCTGTGAATATATGGATCCCTTATCTAAAACAGTGAAACAGGCACAGCTTTGGCTTCAATGTCGTCCCTGGTGAAGGGAGGTATCCTGAGAAGAGTTACGTTGCCTCTGATAGAGCCGTTCACACACTCAGCCATTCACACAGCCCCTCAGGAATTTCCCTCCCCCTACAGATCACAGCAAACTAGAGACAGAGTTTGACTCTAGACTTACTCTCCATTTCAGAAGGGAAAAAAGTGAATTAAACCTGATGAAGGGGTATTTGCAGGAAGAATAAGAATGCTGGGGAAAGGCTGGAAATAGCTCTCCCATAGGCTGATTCTCCCCTGCATGCACTGCTTCCCCTGCATTAGCATTATGAGGAAACCATGTATTTTGCTTTTATTTTACTAAGTTCTAATCCTGCCCTTCCTCTAAAGAGATCAAGCTGGTCTCCTTATGAAAACAGTACTGAGAAAGGACTCTGTTTTCATATCACTTGAAGTAAGAGCAGATTAATGTGAGCTGTCATTATCCCAGTATTTGTACAGAAGCGATGCTTCCTTTTTGCTTACAAACCTGTTACGAAAAAAGTAAAATAAAATCCTCATTGAAAGTAACTGACTAAATCCAGACTTTTCGTTGCACAGTTAATTATACTTTGTTTGCAAAAGAGCTTTTACCATGAGCAAGTAGTGATTCAGTGTGCATCTCATCTGCAGGGCTGGCTTCCAAAGGAAGAAATCTCCCATCTAGCACCAGCAAGGCATCTGTCTCTTTCCCATTCGGAGTGCACAACTGTTTCGCTTCCTCAATTCCTTGCTTCCCAAATCTTTGCTGATCTCTTAAAGTAATGATAGAGGGTAGATTATGCCTGAACTTGGTGTGTATGTGTGTTAAGTGCCATCAAATCGCTTCTGACTCATGGTCACCCTACAAATTAATGTCTTCCAAAACGTCCCATCTTTAACAGCCTAGCTCAGGTCCTGCAAACTGAGGGTCATGGCTTCTTTTATAGAGTCAATCCATTCAAATATCCATGAACTCTGGCTAGCATTGCCCTTGTCTTTCCAGGTGTTGATAGCAACAGTGCTAATCTATTTTGTCAGCATTGGAAACCACTAAGAATTGGTGTAGTGATTTTGTTTATTAACACTGGAAAAATCTCCCTGGTCCAGCTGACTCTTATGAGAACCAGAAGAATGTAACTGGGTGGCAGAGCTCGTTCCTTTTTTCTTTTTTCTTTTGGAACTCCATCCATTTCAAACATGATGTTTGGAGAATAATTTTTTAAGGGTAAGAATTGCCTTGCTGTAACAAAGAAAAGATCTATCTAGTCCAGGATTTTTTCTCCAACTGTGACTAGTCAGACGACCCTTGAAACTCACAAGCAGGGCATGCTAGCAATAGCCATTCCCTGTTATTTGATAGTGATTGGAGGTGTTCTGAATACTTTTTTAACCTTTACAAAATATTGACATTGCTTGAATAAGCTGTTTTATACCTGTAAGTGAAATTTTGAAAACCATTCAGCATGGTTAGAATTATATCCAAATTCTTGTAATTAACTAATGCTGGAAAAAAAATGCTTAATTTGGATTTGGGGCTTTTCATTTGTGCTGTACTAGCAATAAATCTTCATAGCTATCCTGATTATACAGTGAAATGTAGTTACTTTCATTAAAGCCTTGAAATTCAGTGCCCGTGAAGTCAACAAATTCAACACCCATTAGGTTCTAAATTACTCGGCCATGAACAGAAACAGTTTCTGACCGTTTAATCTCCTTTGCAAATTGAAGTTCACCATTTATGTCATCTTGCCAAACTAATTACCAGCCTTTACAACCCAGAGCAAATGAGTGGAGCTGATGCAGATGGGCTAGTACCCATATGACCACTAGAGCAAATACATCTTCTCGTGTCTGGCAATTGCTTCTGATATAACATATTTAATTCAACAAAAGCTGCAAGAATTGCCCACCATCAACTGAGGGGCTTTTTTTTCTTCCTCTGCAGGTTGTATGGGACCAGATAAATCACTGTACTCTGAAACTGCGTCAGTCTACAGGGCTTATGGAATATTGTCTTGAAGTTATCAAAGAAAACGACCCTTCAGGGTTTCTACAGGTACTTTGGCTTCTGGTTTGTGGTAGATGAGTAAAATTTTACAATGGACTAATATTTCAGAAGTGATACATTTGCTCGCTTCATTCCGATCCCCCCCATGCCTTCTGATGCATGCGCAGACCTTGCGCAGGCCCTGTGCCATCAATTTCAATTGAGGAAGCTAGAGAGAGATGGACATCCTCTTCCTCCACTGAATCTGATTGGTTAATTTACATTGGGTTAATTATGTCTGCTGAACATCCAAAACTGATCTGTTCAGTTATGAATCTAAGCCCCCCTCATGATCTCAATGCAACAAGGAATATGACAAAGTCCAGGGGCCTTTTGGACTCAGTTTCAGAGTCTGAAGCTTTCACATGAACTTCAAAATGGGACCGACAATAATGGTCCTCTTCAAAATTTGTACTCACGGCTGTCCATTTATGGACGCAGAGGAAATGTATCTATGAACAAAAAGGAAAACACATGCAGTGCCCCTGTGGTAAGAAGTTGAATGCATATATTAAAGTTCGTGGATCTAGAACAGATTGCTGGATGGAGGCATGTGTCTTGTTGGGTTTTTACTGACAGATAGGACTTCTATTACTATTTCTGTTGTGCTTGTCATGTCTGTCTTATTTATCCTTAAAATTCTAGAAGGACTAGACAAGGCACTGAGATTTACAGATAGTGATTTGGCCAAAGCTATTAACTGAGTTTATGGCTGACTAGAGATTGAATCTAGAGTACAAAAAACTTCTAGCGCTGACATATAAATTAATAGAGCTGGAGAGGATCACATATAATCTGTTTCATTGCAATCACTTGCCTGAAGATGGGATCATCCATTCACCAAAATCCTCACAAATTAACCCATCTAGTCCAGACAAAAATGTAATAAAACCTGAGTTTATGTATTTATAAAGGTTCCCACAGAGCAAATAGGACCAGAAGTAAGTGAATCAGACCATGCACTACAGCATCTTAGTACTAAAATGAAAAGTGTAGGAATCAGGCACTTTACAAAAAGGGGTGTGTATGATCTGGGAAAACCACACACTGATATTTACCCATTTAGGTAGGCAAAAGTGCACTGATTGAGCTGGATCCACTGTTGGTTCTCATTTGATCAGGGTCACTTCCAACTTCAAAGTCTGCTGTGGAGGGGAATTAAAGTGGTGTGGCATGTGCGCATTTGTAGAGGAGAACCATGAGCAGGGGAAGAGTTAAGCACCCCTTCTCTCTGCTGATTATTCCCCAAGGGAGGCCCTGCTACTACATGTGCTTTATTAGGAAATCTCATGTTTTCTTTGTACATTGCAGTTCCACCTAGACAGAAGGGAATTCCTACTGAGTGAGCAAGTCCTGGGATCCTGTAGCCACAAAGAAGGGAATTCCTACTGAGTGAGCAAGTGCTGGGATCCTGAAGCCACAAAAGTTATTATGGGCACACTGGATTGGTACAGGGTATCCTGACCCCTTGAGCACCTGTGACTTCAACCCCTTAAGGTCAAATTACATGTGATGCTGGTCCATCGACTGGAACTCCAAAAGTGTAATATGTCCCTTAAAAGCAGCCTTGGGGAAGGGCTGCTGTGGATTGGGGTTGCAGTGCTGGAGAAGGAGAGGTTTTAACTCGTCCCTGCTGCATCATTTCACTGATCAAAACTGTCCCTTCCAGACTGCTAGCTGTTTGGTGTAGTGGTTAAGTGCGTGGAGTCTAATCTGGGAGAACTGGGTTTGATTCCCTGCTCCTCCACTTGCAGCTGCTGGGCAAGCCATAATTCTGCCAGGGTTGTTCTTGAAAAAGAGCAGTTTTCTGTCAGAGCTCTCTCAGCCCCACCCACCTCACAGTGTGTCTATTATGGGGAGGGGAAGGGAAAGGAGTTTGTAAGCCACTCTGAGACTCTGAGTGAAGGGCGGGGTATAAATCCAATCTCCTCTTCCTCCTTCTTCTCTTTCTCCTCCTCTTCTTCTGGCCCAGTGGGGGGGAGGGAGTCAGGATTCCCAGAACATGGCCCTGCAGATAATATGGCTCCACAGAAATGGCTTCCCTCTTTGGGCTGTTTTAAGAGCCAGTAGGAAAAAGAACAGGTTACCACATAATGCCTTGCCTTTTTTCATACTGAGTTTTAAGATAACCCAAAGAGGGGAGCTATTTTTGATAAGGGAAACAGAGGATGGGAGAACCCCTTAACCAGAGCTATATTTACAGCCAGGTCAAAGATTTTGGCTTCTTAGGCAGTCTATGACTTTAATTGGTCCCCCTCTCTACATTCATTATGGTGAAAAATGAGAAGTACAATCAGGGGTCATTTCGTAGAAAAAGAGGTGCAGGAGCTCATTAGTGTAACTCATTAGCATAACTTATTTGCATATGCCACACCCCCTGACATCACCAGAAGTGTGTCAGAAGGCAACACCCACCACTCAGGCTCCACTGGACTGTTTTGGATTGCTAGCTATTGGTGGGGTGGGGAGGAATGTGCAGATCTGTCCTCTCAGAGGAGGGAGAGCTTGTACCTGAATAAAACTTGGTCTTAAAGGTGCCACTGGACTGTTTTGGATCGGGGGGCCGGGGGGAGCTCTTCAACTTACCTGGCTGCTGCTTGCTCTGACTGCTGGGAGCAGGGGATGGGGTTTGTTGCATTTGCCCACCCCCTGGGCTCTTTACTGCCGGAGCGCCGCTCCTGTGCACTCCTGCAGGAAATTACCCCTGAGTACAATATATGATACTTTCCCAAGTAAGAGATAACATATTAATATTTTTAACAGAGAAACAAAATTGACTTCCATCTAATTTGGCACCTTCTATAGGTGACTGCCTAGTTTGCCTATATGGTTGTGCTGGCCTTTGCTATGGTTCTGATCCAGATCAGACTCCCCACCCCTTGCAGCTGCTTTTCTAGAGTTAGGTTATACTTCTGGAGTTCCATTCACAAAATGCCACATGTTGCATGGTTCTTAGCTGATTAGATTTAAATTGACTGTTCAACAGCTTTGTCTTGTACATTTAAGGATTATGTGTTTCCCTTTCAGATTTCAGATGCTTTAATCAAACGTGTTCAAGTTTCTCAGGAGCAGTGGGTAAAAGGAGCTCTGGAACCAAAAGTGTCCGCTGAATTTGATCTGACTTTGGATAGTGAACCTTTGCTGCAGTCCATTCACCAGCTGGACTTCATTCAGATGAAATGTAGGGGTGAGCTTTTATAGATTGCTTTTCTTTCTTTCTTTTCCCCTTCTTCTTCTCCCTTTCACACCAGGACTCCAAGTGACAGTGAGGTAGACAGGGGAAGGGGGGGGGATCTCTTATCCAGATGTGAGCTAGCAGTTCTCCTCCCAGGACCCTAACAAGCTCAGACAGTAGCATTAGAGAATGGTAAACATCTGAGAAGATAAAATGCTGCTGACTGTGACCATCTGTTCTACTCTGAAGTGTAGAAGTTTGCTAATACGGCTATTGCATTAAAAACAGCTTTGCTCTGTGTTGGAGTACAATTAGGCTTGCCAAGTCCCCCGCCCAAGAGACCCATTACCCATCGCTGGCAGATCGGGGCCCAGGGGAAACCCCACCCCCAAAGCACGCGACGTGCCCGGCATCAGCACGTCACCCGGAAGTGACGCAGGCACGTCGGGCGCGTTGGGGGTGGGGCCGCGGTCATCCGAGGGAAAACTCTATGGTTTTCCCTCGGATGATTGTGGCCCCGCCCCCGGCATGCCCGACGTGGTTGCGTCACTTCCGGGTGATGTGGTTGCGGTGTGTGCGCACGAACTCGCAGAGCAGCGCTGGAGTCCCCCGCTCTATGTACAGTAAGGACTTGGCAACCCTAAGTACAATAGATCAACAGTGTCTATAATTAAAATCAGTTACCACTACAGTTAATTTTCTCATGGATCTTCCATGGTGTGTCTAGTTTGAACCTTAACACCTCACTGAAGAGATGCCTACTTCTCTTCAATAGTTCTTTGCAGTTCTGAATAGACATTGTAAGAAATACTGTCCATAAAAGCTGACTGTTTGGAAGAGCTGGGAGCAGATCTGTTCCTCGATGGAGATTCCAGCTTTTTTTATGTCTCTTTGCACTTCCAGTCCATTGGCCATTCTGTCAACTCTTTATCAATAAGTGTAATGCAAGAGCTCTAAGATAAAATGAAACAGAAGGCAAAGGTAAAAATGAAACAGAAGGCAATGAGTCAGTCATGTGGATATTCTGGTTGATGAAACACAGAAGACTTTAATCTATTTTTGTCCCACCCTCTCTCCAAGGAGTTCAGGGCAGTGTGGATGGCTGTTCCCAGGGCTTTTTTTGTAGAAAAAGCCCAGCAGGAACTCATTAGCATATTAGGCCACACCCCTGACAGTATAGCTCATTAGCACATTAGGCCGCAACCCCGTGACCAGAAGTGTGGTCATCCAGCCACACCCACCTTTTGCTTCTTATTCTGTTTACCTTGTTTGTTGTCAAAACCCAGGGCTTTTTTTGTTGCAGGAATTCCTTTGCATGTTAGGCCACACCCCCCTAATGTAGCCAATCCTAATGAGTTTCTGCTGTTGGGTGTGGCCTATTATGCTAATAAGTTCCTGTTGGGTGTGGCCAACTTGGGAGCCAGCCGGAACTCCGTTCCTGTGCATCCCTGCCCAAAAATAGCCCTGGCTGTTCCTGTGTCTTGCCCTTAGAGCATCTCTCTGAGGTAGATTTGACTGAGAGTGACTGGCCCAAGGGCACCCAGTGGGCTTCATGGAAGAGTGGACACTAGAACCATGTCTCCCAAGTCCTAGTCTTGTCACTATACTCCACTGCTGAAATCAGTTGTACAGCTTATAGATAACTGCCCTTTGCTATTCTTCTCCACAGGACTATTTCATAATCCATGATGGATTGGATTCCTGTTCAGTCAGAGTTCATTTGATTTCAGTAGGCTTAATTCTGAACTCAAAAAGCTCAATCTGAAGCAATTAGGCCAGCTAATTTGACAGCTAAATCCTTGGAGGAACAACTGAAAATGCCTGAATTTAAATGACTAGTTAAAGGCAAAAATCTGCTCCCCAAAAGGGTATTGTATCTTGAGCTAAATGGGTTATATTAATGAAGCTACTGCGAGAACACTGGGAAACTGCAGCATCAAAAATGTAGGCAAGTTAAAAAAGAGAGAGGCAAATGAGAGATTTAAAATGCAACTGATGAGCCTCTCTAAGTACATATTTGCACAAGGATCACTTCTCAGTTTGGAGACATTTTAATCATGTTTGTTGGTCTCCATAATGAATAATGAATAGTAAATGTAACAGAGCTGTGAGAGTTTCTCCCCTTCCGCAATGAGACACCATCCTAAGGAAAGTCCCTCTTTGGTTAAAATTGGCTATATTATAATAATTATGTTACGTAAACAAGGACCACTCCAAGGACCACTGCCTGTGGCTCAGTGGTAACATAATTGTTTCATATGCAGGAGGGCTGAGGATTTTCTACTGAAAGGATTTCAGGTAGAAGGAAGGTCCTTGGAGAGCTGATGTTGCATCAGAGTTAGACAATAAACAGTCCTGGTTTGGGGCTGGGCAGTCAAAGAGTCTGATTCAGTGTAAGGCAGATTTATTTCCTATTCAAGTGGGAGGGGGACAGTGAATGGAGGGAAGGAACTGGCCAATCCTGAATGGAACAGAGGTGGGATAAACCTCTCTAGAAATCCATAATTATTCATTTAACTGGAAAATAAGAGCAGGTTCAGTCTTACTATAGGAGAACATTTGACTTTATTTGAAGTAAAGCAAAGGGTTAAAATGGGAGATCATGCATTCCTAGACAGGCTATTAGCTGAGATTGTGCTGGCTGTTCCATGTTCTCACAGGCCCCAGAGCAAACCAGCCAAGGAAATTGTGCTGCCCCCAGTCAGTGTTAACTGTAGGTATAGTAAACTGCTGTGTATCTTTAAGAGCAGTTGCCCCTGGGAATTGTAGTCCTTAATTAGGCATCCCCAAAACCTCCCTCTGACTGGCTCTTTAAGGGTAATTTCCTGAGCCCAGAGGCGTGAAGATAGGAATGTTATTGTTCTTTTCCATCTTCTTTGTCTATTGAATTGACCTGAATCACAAAAAGATGTAAGTTTCCACTCAGCCATCAGCTCAGATCCTGAGTAATGATCTGTTGAATGCATGTGAAGTTTAAATAAAGGTGATTTTCTCTTCAGTGGCTGTGCGTTTGCTCACACCTAGAAAAGCACTGAGCTTGGCCAAAAGCTGGCACCGGACAGGACAGGAATGCTCTGGTGGGTGTCTTGTGGCTCAGTCTGGGTCGACTCGAGCGGCACCGCTGCAGACTGAAAGCATCAAGCATCCCCGGCTTCTTTGTCCTCCTTTGACTCTTGCGGCAGCAGCATCCAAGAGGAAGAGGAGGAGGAGGAGGAGGAGGCCAGGAGAGCTCCTCCGTCCTGCTCCCCCAGTCAGGGGAGGCCCCGTCGCCCACCCGTGCTCTGCTGCCACCTGACCTGCGAGGCCTCCAAGGGAGAGGGGAGGGGGTGGCACTACCTGGTTCCTCCGCCCTCCTGGAGGGGGAATAGGCCACCCTTCCAGTCCCCTCCCCTCTGTCCTCCACCCAGCCAGAAGTGTCCTGAAGCCCCCTCTCACCTGTTGCGGCCTCCCAGGCTGCTCTCTTTCCCGGGCAGGGCTGGGTGACGGGACCGGCTTCCCCTGGGACTGAACCCAGAGCCTGCCGCCTTGCCCTGCTGGCCTGGAAAAAAAATTGCTTCCTGACACCAAAGTGACGATCAACTGAGCATGTAAGAAAGGTGTGTAAGAAAGGGCCATGAGAACTAAGCACTGATGCAACCCTTCCTGTCCTCCTTCTTATGACCTGCCTAAGTTCACAGAATCAGCATTGCTGTCAGATGGTCATCTAGTTTCTGTTTGAAAACCTCCAAAGAAGGAGAGCCCACCACCTCCCGAGGAAGCCTGTTCCACTGAGGAACCACTCTAACTGTCAGGAAGTTCTTCCTAATGTTTAGCTGAAAACTCTTCTGATTTAATTCCAACCCATTGGTTCTGGTCCAACATTCTGGGGCCACTCAGATGTCCTCTCCAGGCTAATCATACCCAGCTCCTTCAACCTTTCCTCACAGGACTTGTTCTCCAGATCCCTCACCATCTTCATTGCCCTCCTCTGGACACGTTCCAGATTGTCTATTTCCTATCTCATTTCTAGTCCTGCTTCCTCCTGTCTGCCGTCTCAGTCTGGACCAAGCATCCTCTGACAGGGATATGCGTATTGTAGTTATGTTCTGTTTTATGTCATCAGAATGCTACTACTTTGTTCCTTGGTGGAGTAGCTTTCTGTTATTTAGGTGGACTTTGTGGGATGAGGCTAAAAAAGCATAGGTATGTAAAGTGCACCAGCAGCAGAGACTGACTGTGGAATCCAACCCATAAACTTTAAGGCAATTCAAATTTCAGTATTTTCCCCATCTTTCTGTGATTTGGACAGTTGATAGGATAAAGTTTTATTTACGGCCGAAGCCAGCAGTTAACATTTGAAACACTACAAACTTAGTAGTAAAAAACACCTATGAATAAAAGTAAAAAGGCTTAACAGAACAGTAAAATGCATTATAAAATACATAATAAATTCCTTAGGAGGTAGATGGTTAACAATAAAATGATTAATATTTAGCTTTCTGTGTTATTATAGATTTTCTAATTCTTAAAACACTCCATCCAAATCTAGCCACTTGGTGTGTTACCTCCGAGTTCCTATCTGAGAGGAGGTTTTTCATAAAAACCTGGTTAGAGGTAAGAACTTGGGGAATGAAAGAGATTTCCGGAGATTATTATAGGCCTCACAGTCGAACATAACATGTTCTAGATTTTCAGTGCCTACATTACAGCAGGGGCATATGCGTTCCTCGAATGGGATTTTCTTACACTTTCCCTCTGTATTCGCGAAGGGAAGAGCATCCCAGCGCATAAGTGTGAATGTTCTCCTATATTCGTGGTTTGACAGATGGTAAAAATAGGCCAAAGGAGTTACTCTGTTGAAGGGGTCAAGAAGTGTGTGCCATTTCTCTGTTCTACCTATATCATTCTCCCTATCAATATTCGTAATCCTCTGTTTTATCATTTCACTGGCTTTGTCATAGGCAAGGGAACACAGGTATTGTTTTGTGAAGCCAAAATAAGGGTGTTTCTCCTCTATAGCCTTAAGCCAGGGGGGAATAAAGGTGTCTTGTAGTATTAAACATGTCAGCCCGTTATAAAGAAAAACTAGTTTCAGTCAATAATGAATCATCATGATCCATAACCTTGCCTCCACAGTAATCATTCCCATTTCAATTCGAATAAGTGCATTTGGAATGCCATTGGGTACCTGAAGAACAGATCTCAAAAATTTTGCTTGGACTGTGTTCAGTTTCTTGTAATTAGATGTAATATTGATGGGGGCTCCAAAGGTAAGTTGAGTGAGAGATTTGGCTTTAAATAGTCTAAGACATTTTCCACCTTTGTGCCAGTAAAAGTTTTGGATTGCCCTCGCACTCCTTTTGGCATTTATGGTAACATAATTTATATTTACAGTTCTTGAGCCGTTTGCCTGGAGGTTAATGCCCAGATATTTGAAACAGGTGACTTGTTCAATGCGAATAGAATTTAAGTACCAGTTAAAAGTTTTGAGGGATCTTTTGGTAAAGGCCATTTCTTTAGTTTTTGAATAGTTGACCTTTAAGTTGTTATTTTGGCAATATTGGGCAAAAGAACTCATGACTCTCTTGAGACCAAGGGGGTCCTTGCAAGTAGGACAGCATCGTCTGCATATAAGAGCACCCCTATGTGTCTGTTGCCTAGCTTTGGAGGATGGAACTCGGGCCTGCTTAAATAGGATACCACATCACTGATATAAAAGTTAAAGAGAAGTGGTGCCAAAAGGCAGCCTTGTTTAACTCCTTTCTCAACTCTAATAGAATTTGTCAGGTGACCCTGGGGGGAGTACCTGACCCTTATGAATGTTTTATTGTGAAGGGTCTGAATAAGAAATAGTAACCTTCTATCAATACTTGAAGCTCTTAATTTGTCCCATAGGATAGTTCTAGAGACTGAATCAAAAGCCAATTTTAGGTCCAAAAAGGCAGCAAAAAGAGACATATTTGAGTTGGAGGAATATTTAGCAATCAGATGGTCCAGTATCATACAATGATCTAAGGTAGCACACCCCTCTCTAAAGCCGGTCTGCTCATCTGCCAGACAGGAGTTGTTTTTCAACCATTCCCTGAATTTCCATAGGAGATGTCTCACATACAATTTATTCACTGTACTTAGCAGACTAATTGGCCTGTAGTTATTTGGGTCTTCTTTATTACCTTTTTTGTAAAATGGACTGATGACTGCTACTCTCCA